AGCACTGGACTATTTGACTGTCATGAGAATCAGACAAATGGTAATATCTACTTTAGTTTAATTTCTTCAACTAAGTTTTTTACTAGATTACACGTTTAAACTTGTTCTAGAAAGATAACCTTAATGAACTTAGTAGCACTTTCCATTACCATGAGATATTAGTATTTTTTTGGTAAGAAAAATTCAGGTGGAGAGGTTGCTCTTCATTCCAAAGCTAGAAAATAGCCTCAATGAAGGCTTACAATTCTACCTACATATAATGTCGTTTGATGACTTCAATGTATGAGCTAATTTTCAGTGGCTAGGCCTAGATGGTAGAATTACTTGGGTTACTTTTCCATAAGCAATTTCTGTTCAAAAACAGCTGAGTTGATGCATAACTGAGCAAATGCTGCATTTTATGCTATGAGTTTGTGCAAGGACACAAGGGAAACCTAGGAAAAATGAATAAGCTAATTACCCTTTTATTTGTCCTTACCAAGAAAATTAGAAACAATTAGCTATCCTTTTCATTTATCTTTATTTGCTTCATGCAAAATGCAGTGTGGTTGATCTAATTATGTATACTTTGATTTTGGTTGCAGCTGTTATGACATCATTTTTCCCGTGTGTAACATTTGGGCAGACAGCAGAAATATTAGATGGCGGAGAACTTAGTAAGGACCCTTACACTTAGCTCACCATGCATTCGTTTCTCATAATTTTTTCAACTTTTTGATATAAATTATGTTTAAACCCATAATATTGAAATTCAAGAGTGAGTTGTAGTATTCTATTACTCAGAAATAGACAGATTAAACAACATAGTAAAAAAATCTCACAAACATCATGTTTAATTTCAAGTTAAAGATAATATAATGTTTTCTCATGTTTTGACTCGAATCCACCGGTAAAGATTTTCCAACAATTGACACGTTCAAATGATTTCAGGTTGTCATCTGGGGAGCTTCATTTACCTATTAATGATGCCTGCTTTGTGCTCTCAATGGATAATGGGGTCAAAGTACAGAACAAAGTTGAGAAAGAGGTATAATTTGGTTGAAGCACCATACACAGACATAGTCTCTCACATATTTTGTCCATGTTGTTCCCTTTGTCAAGAGTTCAGAGAGCTAAAAATCAGAGGACTTGACCCTGCTCTTGGTAACTCAGCTCCTTCCTTTTGTTCATCCTTATTCAATTTTACGTTCTTAATTATTATCTCACATAACTTATTGCAATTTGCATATGCAGGATGGAATGGAATTCTTGCACAAAAGCATGCAAAACAGCAAAGTGATCAAACACTGAACAATCCTCCTTCAAACCAATTCATGTCCAAGTGAACACATTCACGGTGGAGCTGTTAAAATTAAACTGAGTTGTAATTCTTTTGATTCGTTCTGTGCTTGTTTACTTTTTCATGTCTGATACTTGTGTCTGAATTCTAAGAAAGAAAATAAAGCCGAAAGGTGGCAAGTTTGGTATGATAAGTATATCACTGTATAAATTGTTGCATCCATTCTTACATGGAGGAGAGTCTTACTGTATAAAATCTTTGGAAGAATATAAAGTAATATAAGATTTGTACCTTTTACTAATATTCAAGACGCAACTGCCAAATATCTTATTCATGAATGCAACTTGTACAAAACATGGTTTTTTCTATATAGTACTACAGCACACAGAATCTGATCATTAAAAAAAAAGGTTAGAATATCCAAATTATGTATAAAAACATTTAAGTGAACAATTATTGGGTTTCATTACATTGCCTCTTGTTGTTGATCATGAACCATGTTCCCTCTTTCTTCCTTCTTTGAGACTGCTTCAGCACTAAGGCCATAAGCCCAACTGCAAACCAAATAGTAAAGAGTATTAACAGCACTCAGTATGGAAAGAAGCCAATAATACTTGTCATAGTGACCCTTGTTAATGTTATCTGAAACCCAACTCTGTTTTCCACCTTTGGAAGTAATGTCATCCACAATGCTGAGTATAAGAGAAGCCACCAAGTTTCCCACAGCAGATCCTAGGCTGAATAGAGATGCAGCAATGCTTGACATGCTACTTGGAAACTCAGAGTAATAGAACTCTGATTGCCCTATTGCATTAAAGGCTTCTGCTATACCACACAGAATATTATGTGGGATAAGCCACATTGCAGACATCTCCAAGACTGCCTCAGGATTATCAACAAACCCCTCTCCTATTGCTTTCCTCCTCCTTATACTCTCAACAATTGCCGAAGTCACAAAGTCCAAAAAGGAGAAAAACAGTCCAATTCCTATTCTTCTTTTGGCACTGATGCTTACTGGTTTTCCTCTCACTTTTGAAGCTAGAGGAAGGATGACACGATCATAGACACCCGCAGTCATGCACACTGCAAGCATCATGAACACACCGAAAGAGCCTGCTGGAATTTGGAAGTTTGAAGTGACCTGTCTGTTCATGGTTTTAGCTTGGAGCAACCAAAGTGATGCTGGCTTGTGCTAACTGCCACCATGATACCGATCGACCAAATGGGAATAACCTTAATGATTGCCTTCAGTTCTTCCACTTGCTCTATTGTGCAAAGACTCCATTTTTTTGAAGCCGACCCATCAGAGGCTATATCCCGTTCTCTGTCTCTGATGATGCAAGCTTTGTTTAGAAACCTACAAACAGTAAGCATCACCTAAAGTCAATAACTTTATCAGTTCATCGAACTCAAGATCATTAGGGAAATGCATGATTTTACTTTCAACCTTAGTTTATCAGTTGGAGCGATAAGGGTCGAGTCCTTGTCATGGTGATAGACGCCATTGGTAGTGGAGTTCTTAGGTGGAAATGAAAGGTTTCTGTTCTTGTAGGCAACGAAAATCACTTGGGAAAAGCCAGTGATCAAGCTGCTGTTTGGTTTCTGCTTGACATAACGTGGGGAAATGAGGAAGAAGGAGAAAGTGGAGAAGAGCATAAGTGCTGCTGGAACCCCAAAACCCAGTTTCCAGCCAAAATGGTCTTAGATGTAAACTATTCCCGTCAAGGCAAAAACGACAGCAATGGTTTGAGAAGCTATGTACCAACTTATGAAGCTCTCTAAGACCCTCTGATTGTTGGGTTTGGATTTTTGGTTAAGCTGATCTGCACCAAATGCTAAGGAGCATGAGATTCCACCATTTCCAATGGATATGAGAGCAAAGCAAGAGAGTAAGATAGCCATTTGGAGTGTTGTTGCAGATTTGCAGTTCTCAGTTGAGTGCATGCATGGCCTTGCCACTGGGATCATCGCAGTCAGCCACATCACCGCCATTCCCTGCAAAACAAATATCATATCGACAATTATGTCACAATTATTATCAACATATAATTTGTATCAAAGAAGTCTTCATTCACACTAAAACATTCTTTAATTATTAAATACACATTTTTGGTGTTTTTAATATATATATATACATACCCTTCTTCATATTTTTAATAAATGAAATGGGCATCTTTTATATTTTTAATAAATTTATGTACCTTTTTTTATTTTATCTAAAGAAATAAATTATTTATAAAATAATTATTTAATTTATACATTTTCAATTTTTATATTTTTTTTATTTATCTTTTATATGTATATGGTAAAAAGTTATTAAATAAATATATTTATAAAAAATAAAAAAATAAAGCAAAATTATATTATAAAATTTAATATACTATAATATACATTTTTTTTTCTAATGTTGATTATTTAATGATAAAAAGATTATAATTACATAAATTGTAAGATAAAGTATCAAATAAATTAAAAATATTTTAATAATTACGTACATATAATCTTTAAAAAGTATTTATAACATAACTATTCTAACAATCTTTAATATTAACTTAAATTTATACGAGATTGACTATGCAACAATAATTAATATATAAAAAAATGCATGAATATCATTTCTTTTAATCAATGTGATAATTTCATCTATATTTTCATAAAAGTTAAAATATAAACTTATACGCAACATATAATTAAAGAGTATCTTTTCGTACACTTTTATATTATGAATATTAGTCACGATTTAATAATTGGTAATGTTGTCAACCTCAATGCTTCCTTTTGTTTTGGATGCACACTGGCTCACGTGATTAGGAGATTTAAGATGTGAATATTAGTATAAAAATAAAAAATTTAAAATGATATGTAAAGTAAGATTCACAAATATTAAGGTTTTATGTTGAATGTAGGCAACTTACGCACATTGATTGATTGAACTCTTCCAACCGATCATTTTAGTTTGGAAGATATTGATTAGTAATGATGAAAACCAACTAATCATTTTATTAATTTAAACAGTTTTTTAATCAAATTTTATAGAATTTACTTGTGATTAGATTTTTATTGATCTTTAAAATTTTCTAAGACACATTTATTAGTTTAATTGATTATATGAATAATCGACTATCTATTTGTAGGAATAATTGTGACTATTCAAAACACAAAAAAAAACATAAAAATAATAAGTCACATGAAAGATTGTTAATACTATGATTAATCCATACCACCTTAAAAACATAATATCAAAATACTATGATGTTTTGGTATCTAAAACGAAATTAAGTTGACAAGTATATAAGCCAAAAGAGGTGCTCATAGAAAAGCATCTTATCAACCTTTCCCGTTAAAAAGTAAAAAAAATTCCAACATAAATTTTTTTTTAATCTTTACAAATAGATCTGTGTTAAGTTGAGAAGTTGCATAGAAAAAAATTCTTAAGAGATGAGAAGTTAGAAATAAAATAGAAAGAAAAAAACGACACCAGGAAACTGAGAATTGAACCTAAACCAATGGAAAGAAAACGATACGAAGTATGCATAAAAAAAAAATGCAGCAACAACAGATCAAAATTGGTTGGTGTTAGAAATGGACTTTAAGGCTACCTGAACTTCAGAAAACCAGTTTGTAAGATGATGTTTGCTCCACTTATTAACTATGAATTGGTCTTATAATCCTAAATCTCTAATCGATGTAAAACTTCTAATAATTGGTAGTAGCAAACCAAAAAAACACTATTGATTAAGTATGATTAACCAATAATTGGATAGAACCATAATTCATTAAGATTTTTTCTCCGGTTTTTTTCTTAATTATTGATTACAAAATATATGAAGATCGTGCTCGGAAAGTGTTGGATCATGTGCCATTTTATTAAATATTTTACTCACTATTGATGTGCAATATTTATAATTTTTGTTGTTGTTGATGTATGATGCGTGTTAGGAACAAAAAATATTATTTCTCATTTGTACTTTTTACTTATAAAACTTAAACCTCAAACTAGTCTCAAATAAAATAGTTTTAATCAAACCAACATAATTTTCCTAGCCATGACGTTCTAAATTTTCTTATTTATAAATATATATATATTTTTCATTTTAAACAATATATTCAATATCTTCTTATTTTTGTTGAATATTAGTATAAGTAAATGTGGTAAGAAAACAAGCTATTAAATGAAAAAAAAAAATATAAATGATTATCATAATCCTAATCATTATTATTATCATAATAGATTAATAATCATTACTAAAATAATAAAGTTAATGAATAAAAAACTATAATTATTGATGTGTCAAACTAAATTGGTTAAAACAATATGTCAAATTTATTTTTGAAAAAAAGAATATAATAACAACATTATTATTTAAATGGGGTTGTTTCACAATATGTGACTAAGAATTATTTAGCTCAAGTGTTAAAGTATGTTTGTGGAGGTCCTATGATAAAGTCCTATGGATAGAACATATGGTGAAACACGTTTATGGAAGTTTTTGTGACAGCACTTGCGATGCAATTTATGATAGAGATAATCATGATGAT